GGCTGGTTGCAAGCTTTTTGGTAACACCTACTTTAATTAGGAAAAAAAAAAAAAGAATAGATAGTGATTTCACTTAGGTCTTCTTTGGAAATGGTTCCCAGAATAAAATTTCTGGTGAAGATAGAAGGCGAAAACCAATTCCAGAGCAGTGAGGCTGGGTCTGGGGATTCACATACCTATGCCTCATTCAGATTAAGGATCTTATCACTAGATGAATTCCCTGACAACATATCATGGGTTACTGTGGAAGAAAGACAAAAGGAAACAGTGGGGAGGAATGAAAGGTGTAGAGACGGTTTCTCAATCTCTCTGCTAAAAGTGTGTCACTCTATATAAATAATGTAATATTTATCAGAACACAGGCTCAAACCTGAGTCATCTGCATTCCCTATTCAGCCCTGACTGACATTATAGCGTCTGAAAAATTTTTATGAAAATATACCTTGGACCAGCTAAAGTGGAGTAAATTCTAACATGAAAAAAAAACTAGCAGGTCTTACTTGCTAGGAAACATAGCTCTAATAACCTCTGAACTGAACTGCTTGGATAAAAGCAAAAACCTGAACACACTTGTGTTGCCTCACCAGTGAGGTTCATAACTGTCTGTGTCAGGATGGTTAGGTTTCCTTTGCACCTCCTGAAAAGTTATCTTTTGTATTCTCCAATGCTGGACAAGAATAGCTCTGAAACACTGAAGGGATCTATACAAGAAAAGACTATTCTAACTCCTTCGAGAAGTCAAAAGATGAAGGACATGAAGCACCAGTAGGAACTGGTATCCACTCCCTCAGGTTTACAGTTCTCTTGATTTCTCAAATTATAATCAACTATCTATACTATCTTATTGTCATATTAAGATAACATTTTACTCTATCAGTATTGCTATTTCTTACTCTTATTTTAGTAGCTTAAGAAGACTGTGTTCAAAGATTTGAGCAACATGGCAACAACTGGATACAACAATGTTAATATTGGTGTATAAATAAATCAAGTCTGCCAAGCAGCAATTTCACACCAATGGCAGGTAGAAAGTAACCTTATTAATGTCAAACAGTTGTAGCCAGCAGAAAGTAAGTAAGGGAACGAAATAAAAGCAGAACAAAACCCAGAGAAGGAGAACTGGCTAGTAAGGATTGTATCACTGGAGACCAAATTGTTATGGCTGGTGTCAGTATCATTAGCTTACTATTAGTTCTAGCTAATAGTAATTTTTACATACCATCATAACTTTCTTACGCCTAACAGATGAACTTACTGAAAGATCACTCCCTCTGTCTTCAGTATATATCCTCCCACACCTTTGCAGGTATTTCAAAACACACATTAAAGAAGGCTATTTTTTTAGATTTTCTCAAGCTGTACAAAAGACCTATGGGACTTGCAGGGAGCAAATAATATAGCATTACACCAAAATTGACACACTAGGTCTCCTTCAACAGCCTGCCTTCAGCAGTAGCCCTGAGTAGATGCCTAGTAGAATAGTAAGACACGTGGCAGGCCTAAAGTACTTCGGTTTGGTTTTTATTGACTGATAGTGTCCAAGGATCCAAGTATTTTCAGTTTTAAAACTTAATCCAAGTGTGCCTCTATCTGTTTAGTCACCCTCAATAGATCCATGGACATGTCCATTCCTTCCTTGAAACTTTTAATAGTTAGCACTGTGCTAGCATCATGTACACTTTTAAATTCCAGTAACTTAATGGCTGATGCAGACAACAGGAGTGTTCAAACTCTTCTCTTCTTCCAGTTCAGTTTAGTTCAGCTCATCTATCTGTCTGTAACCTACTTAATCCCTGTCAAGAGGTGGCTTTTAAGACCCATCACTCAGAAAAGCAAGTTTCATTCTTTAGAAATAAAACAGATGAAAGTCATTGAAAAATAAAACTTAAAGGAGGATATCCCTGGATCTTGCTACAAAAGCTACATACCACTTTCACCATAAGCTACACCATCTTAATACTATATTATGCTATCAAAGTATTCAGTGTATTTTTAGGAACGTATTGTAAAGAATTCCAGCAAGTGTTCTTAATGTTCTTTTGTTTGGCAAGTGACATTACCCTCCCTCCATGGTTAAGACGGCAAATTACCAGACACCCTAAAGAATGCAACAGTCTAGCCAAACCTAGAAAAAAACACTTTTAACACCAGCAGCCTCGCCAGCTACCACTCAGTTTCCAATCTCCTCGTTCTTGGCAATGTCTTTGTGAAGGTAGTGGCATCCAAAAGCTAACAGCACCTATCCCTTGCCAACGCCCTGGCTCCTTGACATACAGGGCATCAGACCAAAACATGATAGAAGAACAAACCCTCTTGGCACTGCCAGTCCACATGCTCCTGGCCTGGGACCGAAAACAAACCTCAGAGTGGATATCCTCTGGGGCTCTGACAGGAGTGACTGGCCTGGTTCTAATAATAAGACTCAGGTGAAGCTTAATAAGAAAGAACAGGACAGCAGTTCTTTTCCCAGACAAGTTGAACAGAGTGCAACTCTCTCATTCTTCTGCACAGCCCCAGATGTCTTGTATTCTACAGTCCCACAAACCTCAACCCTTTCTCCCTGACAGTTTAACCCCAAGACAGTATCACACAGGGAAGCTGAATGATGCTAGAAGTTCATGTATCCTCAAATAGACAGATGACATTCAATTATGTCTCTGTCTCTGCTTAAATTAAGGGTTTCAAGGGAAACAAGGCACAGCTTCCATTTTCTGTCCCCACTTGGCAGCAGATAAAGGAATAATACTGCCAACAGTGACTCCAAAGCGTGAGAAAGTGTTATACTCAAATTTCAAGCAGAATGTTTCATGACAAAACCAGCAACAGATTTCTCTGCCCTCTATCTGCCTCTGCCTTCTGGGACATGGGAGTTTGTCAAACACTAGGATATCTGGTCTTGTCCCACACAGCTACCAAAAGAATATAGCTCATCTGGTGCCCTCCCCAAGGTGCTGTTGCTGGCAGCAAGACTACTCCTTGATGGAGTAGCCTGGGGTTGAGACTGAGGGCTGGTGAGACTGGGCTTACTAGAGGATGTGATGTTCACTAGTGAAATATGTACTTCTAGCTTACTCTTCCAAATGCTAAATGGTACTTTAAAAACAGAATTGTAAAACAGGTTGAAGGTGAGTTTCCAGACCCTGTCTTCAGTCTCCCAAACCTAGAGGCTACAAAGGATCCTTCAAAATGACCAGGTGTCATGCATTCAGGATTTCTTGCACTCACAAACAGAGATATTCTAAAACAAACATAAAAGCTCTACAGCTAAATGCTCCAAGTTCTACAATATTGTCATTATCTGTGAGGAAATATTTCAGGCTTGTTTTAGGTGTAAATTTGATGTTTGGGGTTTCTAAATCACTATCCTACATAATTTATGTCACATATTTAATAAAGAAATAAAAGCCTAATCATAACATCCCACACAGTTTGGAGAGAAACATCATGGAAGTCTCCAGTCAAAAGTGATTTCAAGCCTGCATCACTCCTTGCAAAAAAAATCACATTAAAAAAAATCACCTGAAAAAGTGCTTACCACATTATTTGACTTGTTCTGCCCTCATATCTCTAAAATATATCTCCAAACTTCCAGTATATGTTTCTGGTTTTGACATTACAGGAATATGGCTTTTGCTATAATGACCTGTGATGTTTCTCTCACTTTTGAGTATTCATATGCAACACATGTGACATATTCCACCACATGTAGAGAATACTTTGATCATACAGAATCACAGGATGGTTCGAGTTGGAAGGTACCTTAATGATCATCCAGTTCCAACCCCCTGCCACAGGCAGGGACACCTTCCACTAGACCAGGTTGCTCAAAGCCCCATCCAACCTGGCCTTGAACCCTCCCAGGGAGGGGGCAGCCACAGGTTCTCTGGGCAACCTGTGCCAGTGCCTTACCACCCTCACAGTAAAAGAATTTATTCCTAACATCTAATCTAAATCTACCCTCTTTCAGTTTAAAACTGTTACTCCTCATCCTATCACTACAAACAATGATAAAGAGTCCAAAACTGTACAGCCACAATTCAGGCTGTTTTCCCTAATGTTTGGACAGATCCAGAAAATATTCATGTATGTGTAACAGCCCAGCATCACACAATTATTTCTTGGTTAGACTGTGGTTCATTCTGCATTTGGATAAAACAGCAAACTGAGTTAGCTGCATCTTATTTCAGAAAGACACTTCTTCTGAGAGCCAAAACGAGAAGATACAGAATGTTAGTGGTGGTAGAAGTCACTCCTTCCTCATTAAGAAGTAACAGTATGTCTTTCACACTAGTTTGTCTTACCCCAATATAATTCATGAAACAACAAAGTTTTAGACGATTTCCTATCACAGTCCAATTGTTTAGAAGGATAACTCCATGAAAATACAAAGAACCTTTTGTCTGAACAGTCTGGAATGGCAAAGTCTAGGCTTGATTTTCTCTTGAATTTTTATTTTTAGAGAATCCTGAAAGGACTGTTTACACTGACATTTCAAAAAATATTCCAAATGTCACTAGCATGATCCATTAACTACATGTTCAAAAACTTCTCTGAGCTGATATGAAAAATATAAAAAATGAACATATTTGCATTTTATAATGCATATATAAAATAAAAGAAGCTGGTAGCTCAGGTTACAGACTTCAGAAGTAGGTCAGTTGTGTTTTGTCTGTGATAAAAGAATAATTGTAGCATTTGAAGACTTTTACAAAAGTAAGTTACTTGGGATCTTGTCTCCTTACTCTTCTGACCATCCTCACTTACAAAATTCTAAAAATATGAACTGAAAGAAAAACTCCTTAGTTTAAATGAATGTTCATGAAACTACAATTGACACATTACCAGGTTAAAAGAACTAAAATAATCACAGCTTGTCCTGATTATATGTACTTACCAGTGCAAAATAGGTTGCTGACCAATTATGCTTTCTTTAACTATTAACAGTAGTATCTTTGTTCTCAAACAATGTTAGATGCACATGTTCTGGAACTTATATTTACCTGGTGGACTCTTGGCAGGATCATTGTGGCTTGGACTTCCTGGTTGTCCAGAATCTATAAAGAAATTAAATAAATGTTTTACTAATATGTTTTGAAAGTATCTCACAATCTTTTAATACCCTCCTTCAGTATTAAACGAATACTTAACTTTGCTCTTTAAAGGTAATTTTCCTGACTTTCTACATGAAGTTACTATTGAACAAACACACTATATGTAACCCATTTTATGCAGAAGCAGAAACATTATGAAAGATGCAATGATCCTAATAAAAGGACTTCATAGATCACTGAATAAGGACAAGAGAGTCATTCAGGTAAAAACTCAACACATCTACAAGGGTATCTTTTCATTCCCTGTCCCTCCATCTCCCAAATACAATATTGCATAATCAGCAAAGCAGAAGTAGTTTCTTCTCAGGCAATGACCAGAAAGACATACTGGACCAAGCAACTAATGGTGTTTACAGTTATGAGTGCTGTTTCTTTATCCTTTCCTTAAAGCACAAAGGCATACACTGCTTCCAGTCTCAGGACTGCACTGAAGATATGACGGTCCATTTTAATACAATATAGGCTTTGTTTTCCTTGTCTGTGAGAATTGCTGTTGTGAAATGAAGATTATGTAACATAAAAACTAACAAAACCCAAACCCTGTAGACTTCAAAGAGTGTTCTTTTCATGATACATGCACCTAATGAATCTAGAGTATGCAATTTCATGTTAATACACTAAATAATTATATCCCTATTCATAAAAGAAGATGCTTTTAAAACTATCTGCTTTTTGCTGTATTCCCATAGTAACAATATAACAAAACCCTTCTCCACTGCAAGAAATTGTTATTAACAAAGTAAAACATGACAGACACTCTTGTATGCAAAGAGAATAAAAAATTAAATGAAGCACAATCATTTGTTCTTATAGGTTTAGGTATCTAAAGATATAGGTATCTAAAACAGAGCGGTGCTACTATCTGAATAAAAAATATCAATTTTTTAAAATGTAGCAGTGCTTGTTGGTAGCATAGAACCACCAAAATATTGCATCACAGCACTACAGAAATTGCTGTTGGCAAATGGACCCCAGAAGGAAGTCAGACTTCTTGAATGCATTGCTGCTTTACAGTGTCCAAATCAAAGAAAAAAAAGACAGAAAAGGAGAAGACTACAAATCAGCAAATACTTCCTTCAATCCCCATCACTTCTTCGTAAAGCCAATGTAGCCCTAAACCTAGAATGAAAGATTCCCTCTACCTCCTACAAGAAGGTCACTGAAATCTGTTACCACCAGTTATGTAGCTCAAGCAAACATAGCTTGACACACACGACTCTCAAGTGGTTTAAGATAACACGAGCTTGATGCTACAGAAGACATTATCTGAGATGGAAAGTCATTTCACAGTTCAAGTTCTACTGAATTCATCTGAATTACGATTGTCACAGAAGACAAGCCTATGGAGACCTACCAAAGTACTGGAAGACCGATGTACATGTGAAACCCGGTTCAAATAGTATTAAAAACGCAACTAAATTTTCCAATACTGAATGAAATCACTCTTGTACACGTTGGATAGTTAATTTCACATGAAATTTCTTCTGTCTTCTTCAGCTCTGGGCAGGAAGAATGAAGGGCAGATCTGGATTCTGCACATCCCATGGTTTGGGCACTTGGCTATTCTTAATGAGCCCCACTGTAGGGCATAATATGTAGCCATTCAGTATGCCTGTTTCTTTTCATGACAAGATACAGTGCATTCCTTTAAAAAATCAAATCAAGTTAATCTGAAAACTCAATCAGCTACAAGAAATGCTAAAAATATGCTTCTCTGCATATGGACCTTTATATGGACAACCGTCCTTCTTCCTGTGTTGCAATGGGAAGGTTCACCCTGCAGGGGGTGAACTTTAATATTCTTCTAATAGGCATTCTCTGCTTCTGCAAACCATATGTATTATTATTTAAATTAAGATTATCAGAGAGAACTGATTTTACACAGCAATGGTCTGCATGTAGAACTACTGCAGATGTGTGTCTAAATTAAGTGTCAATTTGGTAGCAGATGCACTCAATAAAACTTGGACAGTGCAGCTTGAGGAACGCAGAGGTATAAACTGGATTAATGAGACCTGGCAGAAGATAGTCTTTGAAGTTTTCTACTGTTAAAATTCACTAAAATATGCACAAAGAATATATTTTTAGCTCTTGCAAGCAATTTGCCTTTACTGCTACTTTCTCACTGTCAACACAACTACTTTATGGATCCAGGATTTAAAGATCGATGGAAGTTTCAACATTTTTTTTTCATATTATAATAAGATAACCTTAACAAATAATTTTCCAGCTATAGGGATAAGCAGTTAGCTAGATATTATAATTTGACAGTCAAACTTAACTTTGCTTTATGTTAACTACTTATCAGTCATGATTTTTACAGATTGATTCTCACAGTGTTTTGAGCAGTACATGCTACTAACATACTCACCAGCAGGGTCTCAAAGATCTTGAGAAAGCAATGAATTATTGTAAGCTGATTATGAGGAGCAACTTTTCTAACCCTTCACTTAAAGCAGTTGAGGAAGCCAAGAAGTCTATTCTGCATGAGAGTATCAACCTATGTAACTCTGCACTTAATGTGCACAGAAATATCTCATTCTCAGAATGAAAGACACAGACCTGAGATGGCCTGTGACAATCCTATTCTCTTACCAGTGTCAGTAACTATAAAGCACTCTCCTGACTTGACTGAGTGCAAATAGCATTGCAAAGTACAAGAGAACCATTATCTTTATACAAATAAACTATATGAATAACTTAATTTATAAGCAGAACACTGAATGAAAGGAGACATTGGAGCAATGCTCTCCTGAAAGAGGGAGTAAGAGACACTTTTAGAAAGCCACAGAAACTAAGGAAGCAAAAGACACATTAAGGCACTTTTAGTCTTTCTTTGTCCTCATCTGCACAAGATCATTAATTAAAAAGATGAGACCTGGATTTAAAACTTACAGGCTTTTCTTCCAGTGTGATGGAGAAAGACATAAACCAGACTCATTGTATGTCTAGCTGACTTTGCACTGAATTTTCCCATCAAATAATTCTGTGAATTTAAAAAAAAAAAAAAAAATGCTTCCTAAGCTAATAGTTGTAAGCAACGCTATACAACTAGTAATAAATAAACTCCATAATGTAAATGTGCTGAAACTGGAACTTTCAACATTGTCATTTAGGTAGCTCCCAACTGTAAGTTTCCTTAGTTTATTATTCTTCTTTGTGTTCTTTTTGTTTGTTTAAAAAACTTTCTTCTCAAATTTTACTGTCAATGTGCTTTTCCTGAAAAAATTCTTGCTCACAGATCTTAGAATTACTTTTCCTTATTTGCTACAGAGTAAAGCTCACCTACACATACCATTTCCACAGGATGGCTTTCATATGCACCTCGTAACTACAGTGAGTGTACCTTCTGCTCTGCTTTTCTTGGTGCTGACTGCTCTAACAGTCAGTAGCTGATGCATTGATAGGTTATTGCCCTATACTGTACAAGGAATTTTGCTTTTAAGGCTCTCTGCATTAGCATAATGTTGAAGGCCTTGAAAACAAATAGAGGCAGAATCTGTAAAAAGAAAAAGTACCTTCCTGAGCCATGTCTTAGAAATAAGCAGATTCTCTACAGGTGTCATACTAATCAAATAAATTTCCTCAGTGGTTTCAATGAACACATTTCACTTTTCATTTGCCATAGGCTAGGAGACAGCCTTTGCACTCAGTTAATCTCAGTTGACAGACACTAATTTAATCATTCACCAGCATGTAAATATACCATTGTTCTTTGATAGTCCATGATTTTGGTACAGGGGAGGATAAAGGACCAGAGAAACGTGGCACCATGTATCAGTTTGATGTTGTTCAAGCCTTCACATACCTATACAGCATCTAACTTGATGAATGACAGTCAGTACCATGAACAAGAATCACAACCACCTCTCAGACTGTCATCCCTTAGGATTACTTTGACACCTGACATCACAAACTTGAGGCAAATGGTTATACCCCTGAAAATCACAGACTCACAGGACACCCCATTCTGGTGGAGACATGGGGAGGTCTTCAGTTCCAGCCCCTGCCCAGCGAAGTCTCACCCATGGGATCAAACTCGACTGCTCAGGGCTTTACAAAGTCAGGGCATGAAACACCTCAAGGATGGAGACAGCTCAACCTCTTTGGGCCCCAGATCCACTTCTGGGCTGTCTTCATGGTGAAAAGACTTCCCAAATCAACTCCCCATCTTTCAAAGACTTTCAGAACATCATTATGGTAGAAAAGCATTCATGGAAACAAAAAAACAAGATATCTCCCTCTCCTCCAAAGTGAATAATGTGATCAAAAAAATCTATAAAGCAAATAAATAATTTCATATGTGTACTTTAAATCATTACCATTAATTATTTTCCTAATTTTACTACACACTTACCTTCTACTATCTACATTATTTTACCTTGGCATAGTAACTGACTGGATTGATAAAGTTCCCAAATGCTTTTCTTGATTTCATTGTGCAAAAGCAATGTCCTTCATTGTATATTATTTCTGTATCTGATGACACTGAATTATTGTAAAATTTTATGAGCATTATTCGCACCAACTCTAGTGATACAACAGTTTGTTTATGGTTTAAGCAAGCTAAAGGTGTTTTATCGTATTAAGTATCTGTTGAAATGATGCTATAAATACGGACATGGCATTGGTGCAAGTGTCACCCTTGTTTTCTTAAGTATGTTAACTTGAGGGGGGATTTATTTTTCACATTTTCATAGACCGCTACACTTAATGGAAATAGTTCCCCTGAAAATTCTGGCTCCCTGGATTTGTCTGATAAAATGCTCACCCCCACCACTTTCTTTGTTAGAGCACAAGTCCTATGAGAAGCAGCTGAGGGAAACAGAGTTGTTTAGTCTGAAGAAAATGAGGATGAGGGGAGACTTTATCACTCTCTACAAATACCTGAAAGTAGGTTGTAGTGAGGTGGGTGTCAGTCTCCTCTCCCAAGTAACAAGTGA